AAAATAGAATTAAAAGATAACATGAATCTTTCCACAGACCCTCTGAAGTACCATCGTATAACACAGGTGCATTCATTGAACATTAGGATGATCCTAGACAGGAAAAAGGGGAATCAGACAGGTTTATCAAGGCACTATATTCACAGAGATCCTTCTAAGAGAGACCACCTCATTCAGAGTGACCACCAAAGACTGAGCCCAATTAGCCAGGGATTGCACTACACAAAGTCCCCAGTTCTTCTAACTCAACTCAAACCACAGCTGCGTGAAAAAGAGGGGGACATGTGACCAAAGAGAAGACAATCCATAGGTTGACCAGAGACTTAGAATGTGCCCTGGCATATAAAAAGGAGCTCTTGCTCTCAGGAGTTGCACCTCAGAAGCTGAAACAATACATGAAGAGAATCCTCGACCTCAAGTGATCAAAATATAAAAAGCAAAACTAAGTGAACAGACACTAAGAAAAAGATTGCAAACTGGGGCTAAGCGGCTGGATCTAGCCCACAAGTGTCTTCTGTGACCTGCACAGTATACTACATTTTAAAAAATTACACCCAGCTTGTGGTCTCTAAATACCATTCCCCACAAAAATGAACTAGAACTCCTAGGAGAAACAGCTGCTCTGAGGTCAGCAGATGGACACATACAAGATAAGCCTACGACACCTTATTGTGCCAAGAAAGCTATCAAAGCCTAATGGGATCATGCCAAAAAATACAGCAACCAATATGAAGAAGATGCAGGGACAATTTGAGCATAAAAGACAAAGGCAATTGACTAACACGCAATGACTGTAAAAATAGAAACAAACAAACAAACAAAAAAGTTCATTATAATGCTTTTTTTTTTTTTTAACCCAAAACCCTTGTTGGACAACACTGCAAATGACAAAGACAAAAATTCCTTACTCTGAAAATTGTCAATTAAAAGGAATGAATTTTCCAAGTCACTGCAACAATAAAATTTTTATTATTATTTTAAAAAGGAAAGAATTCTGCATTTATCCTGCCTATATGAATTGTAAATTTTCTGTTAATCAAATGGCTTTTTTTTTTTTTTAAATAAAGATGACCAGTAAGGGGATCTTAACCCTTGACCTGGTGATGTCAGCACCACGCTCTCCCAAGTGAGCTAACCGGCCATTCCTATATAGGGATCCGAACCCATGGCCTTGGTGTTATCAGCACCACACTCTCTCAAGTGACCCAGGAGCCGGCCCCTTAATCAAATGGTCTTAACTGATGAATTCCTTAAGAATAATTCCAGCTAATAAAATATTGAAGGAATAAAAGAATTAGAAAAATAATTTCACAACCACTTAATGAAATAATAAATTCACACAACAGTCATCAGTGGATTCAAAAGTGAAAGATTAATGGGAAGCTTTACAATGGATGCTTCAGGCTGTTGCTATCTGCATAGGTAGAATAATGCCCCCCATCCCCAAGATGTCCACATCCTAATCCCCAGACCTGTGAATATTTATCTTACATGGCAGAAGGGATTTTGCAGATGTGATTAAATTAAGGGTCTTGAGATGGGAAGATACTACAAGGGCCCTCATAACAGAAAGAGGGAGGCAGGAGGGTAAGAGAAGGAGATGAGATGTTGGAATCAGAGAAAGGACGGAGGGAGAGAAAGAAAGAGGGAAAGTGGGGAGAGAGAGAGAGAAAGATTTGAAGATACAAGGCTACTTACTGGCTTTGAAGATGGAGGGAGGAGTCATGAGCCAAAGAACACAGGTGGTCTCTACAAGCTAGAAAAGGCAAGGAAACTGATTCCCTCCCAGAGCTTCCAGAAGGAACACAGCCCTTCTGACACATTGATTTTAGGAATTTTGACCTCTAGAACTGTTAAGATTCTGTTTTAAGCCATTAAGTTTGTGGTAATTTGTTATAGCAGCAGTAGGATACTAATACACACCTGAACCCACTTAGCACAAAAAGTACTCTGTGTTCCTGCCATAATACCACATATGAAGTACACAGCACCATCCATGAAGTACCATTGCCAAAAAAGATAAATCTGGATCTGATTACATCTTTATACCTGATTCATTTGATAAGAAATACAGGGGACAGAACTGGTTAAATGACACCTCAAGGAAGCAGAGACAGATCCAAAATATGGGACATTCTTTAAAGACAACTGACTCCAACAATGCAACTGCGAAGCATAAAAAAGGCAGGCGAAAGAGTAGACTGCTCCACTTAAAGATTAAAGACACTTGGGAGATACAACAAATTAATTTTAAATAGATATTTTTGAGACAAGTGAGGAAAACTGAACATGGACTGGGTATTAGTTGGTACTAAGAAATCATTGTTAATTTTGTGAGGTGTGAGTAGAGCCACATAACATTGCTGGTTATGTTCAAATTTTCAAAATTTGAAATTCACACTGAAGTATGCAGGATTGAAATACCATGACATCTGGCATTTACTTTAAAACAGTTTATCATAAACTGACAAGGGGGTAGCAGTTATGATGAAACAAGTGTGGCATGATCCTGATGCTTGCTGAATCTGGGTAATGGGTATAAAGGTGGATTCACTATACTATTCTCTGTAACACTGAAAACAAACCAATGCCAACACTAATTTGAATTGGCTGGTGACGTTTAAAAACTGGAAATTTTCACATCAAAATCTGAATTTCTGGTTTCGTTTGAAGAATCAGTGTGGCAAAAGGGCCCCCATGCTTGCATGGCAAGTCCACCAAGAGCTGAGTACTGATCACTCCAAACTAATAATCTCTACTACTCCCAGTTATCCCTCACTTATCATCATTGCTGGGGGTTTTTTTTGTTTTTTTTTAAAAAGATGACCAGTAAGGGGATCTTAACCCTTGACTTGCTGTTGTCAGCACCACCTCTCCCTAGTGAGCTAACTGGCCATCCCTATATAGGGATCTGAACCCGTGGCCTTGGTGTTATCAGCACCACACTCTCCCAAGTGAGTCACGGGCCGGCCCTTCATTTCTGTTTTTTGTTTGTTTGTTTGTTTTTTGTTTTTTAAATACCTGGCCCAATTCGTTCATTTATGTTACCTACTTGGCATGTGAGATTACCTACTTGGCATTTGGGTTTAGGACACTGATAGTCTGATTAAGCTGGTTATTAGCAAGACAACAGAGAAGACAACAGAGTGATGGCAAAATGCTATCGTACATTCACAAACTCCTGCTGTTGGGGTCCCTTCAGTGGCCTTAGGTCCAGACATCATTCCCACAAGGTCATGCTACACTACAGTTCCTGTATTTATTGATTACTTACTAAAATCAAGGCAATATGCTTGACACTCGGAGAAATATGAACATGAGGGCTGGCTGGTTAGCTCACCAGGTTAGAGCATGGTGCTGGTAACAAAATCAGATCCCCTCACTGGCCAGCCGCCAAAAGAAAAGAAAATATGAACATGAAAATAATTCCTGTTCTCAGAATAGTAACAGTCTAATAAGGAAGACAACGCATAAACATAAGTACTAGGTACAATACAAGGTAGAAAATAAGTGAATTTAGGGGACTGTTCAGGGTGGCTCTGTGTAGAGTGCAAAGCTGGAAGTGACAACATGTAGTTTCAGGAACAGATCATGAAGAGCACTACACAGCATGTTGGTTAATTTAAACTATCAGATGAACAACAAAGAGCCACTGAAGGGTTATAAAATATAAGAACAGCAACAACAACAAAAATACAAGAACAAATCAGAGACAGCAACACTGGAGTTGAGAGCAAAGTCTCTTTTATTGCTTAAATTCTCTGATTCCATGAACTATATCCTTTGAAAAGCCATAAGCATGACCCACCAACCCACCGTTAAATTATGCCATCATTGCTTCCTTGAGTAGACAGAAGTTTGGTACCAGAGGAGAATAATAAATGGGTCACATAGCGATAGTCCTGAAAATAGTTTATATCTCCAAAATAAAGTAGAAGTAAATCACATCTATTACCACTACTGGGTTCCAATACTCTAAACATAAATTATGCTTGAAGCTTATTATATCTGAAGTTATATTAAAAAGTAAAAATATTTCTTCCTGTTTAGTCTAAGAAAAGCCCTATTCTGTTAAAAAGAAAAAACAAAAACACAAAAACCTCCACCGTGCTTGTGAATGACTAAAATGATGGAAAACAATCAAATCTTGACTGACAGCAAATCATATAAACGTTTCAAAGATCAGGCCAGGTCGCTCTTCACTACAAAATGGGACTAAACTGGCATTGTTAGCAGTTGCCACCATCCAAGAGTATAGTTGAGATTTATATAAAATTGAGCCAAGTTCAGACTCTGGTGTACCAGAGGGAAAGGACTAAAGACTGAGATCATTTTGTGACCAATAATCGACTTTAATCAAGCACCAGAATTACAAACCAAAAGCAAGGTGAGAATAAGACTGCAGCACTTTCCCTTCAACATACTTAACAACCAAACTAAGAATATCATTTCTGATACTAGTTTATTCTACCTCTCTGAGCCTCAGTTTCTTCATTTGTAAATTGGGGCTACCAGTACTCACCTACTTCAAAGGGCGGTGTACTAACTAAATGGTAACCTAAGTAAAGTAGTCAGGAACTGACAGCAGATAGTCAATACAGACTTTATTAATCACAGTTGTCTCCGTTATTTTCCTGCAGGTATCGCGGCGTCATGATGCCAATCTCCACACTCAACATCCGAAGACGTCTTTGAAAAACCAAGTTACAGTTCAAGGTATCTAAGACCAAAACAGGTATAGGACCTCGACAACGACACAAAGTCGAGGCCGCCCCAGCTCAGTTGTCACCACATCCGCCAAGGCTTCGCAGCCCTCCTAGGAGTTCCCGGACATTGGCGCCCAGCCCCGCCCCGCGAACGCCAACGGCGGGGTGAGGAGGCGGTCTCCATCCCACGTCCTCGGCGCTACCAAGAGGCCAGGCCGACCCCGAGGCCTCTGCCGGCCGGACTCCCCCGAACCCAAGCCTCCCCTCCCGGCCCCGCGCCGCCCAGTGCCGCACCTTGAGGTGGCTGCGCAGGCCGCCAGTGCCCCCAGACTGGTCGGTGATCTCGTACGCGCCCGTCACCAGTAGGTCCTTGTGGATCTCCTCGCGGAGGCACTTGCGAGAGTTAATGGGCAGATGGAAGGAGATGGCGAAGACCGAGCTGGGGCCGAGCAGGAACAAAAGCAGCAACGCCAAGGGGCAAGGTCCACGCCGGGCCAGCGGGCCAGACAAACCAGACATGGTGCCGGAGACTCGTTCACCACCCCGGCCCTCTACCGCGCCGGAACCGGGAGGACCCACGTGACTCACCTCTGACCTACCGATGCCGTTGGCGCCGTTTTGGAGACTGGCAAATAGACGAAAACTATAGAGCGAATCTTTTGAAGGCAAAGAAAGGACATGGTACCGTATTATTAATCACAAGCTTAAGTGGTTAAAGGAGATTTCCTAGAAATTTGCCGCAAAAGTTTTATTTTTGTTGAGGTTAGTGACTACCGAGTCGGCCATGGGAAGTATGGGCAGCCCTGGAAGTAATTCTCCTTTAACCTCCGGAAGCTGTACCCGCGAGTTTTAATGTCGGTGACACCATAGCAACCAAGCCCCAATGAGGAACAGCCACAGGGCCCTTCGCTGGGCCCGCCCACCGGACGCCTAGGTGCCCGGGGCAGAGTCGGAGCCTGAAGCTATGCGTCCGACTGAGGCTGGGGAGGTTTGCAGCCACCCTGAGCGCCTAGAAGTCTAGATGACAGCCGGGAGTTAGAGATTTCCTAGAAATTTACCGCAAAAGTTTTATTTTTGTTGAGGTTAGTGACTACCGAATCGGCCATGGGAAGTATGGGCAGCCCTGGAAGTAATTCTCCTTTAACCTCCGGAAGCTGTACCCGCGAGTTTTAATGTCGATGACACCATAGCAACCAAGCCCCAATGAGGAACAGCCACAGGGCCCTTCGCTGGGCCCGCCCACCGGACGCCTAGGTGCCCGGGTCAGAGTCGGAGCCTGAAGCTATGCGTCCGAGTGAGGCTGGGGAGGTTTGCAGCCACCCTGAGCGCCTAGAAGTCTAGATGACAGCCGGGAGTTTGAGGCACTTGAGAGAAGAATTTTTTCTTTTCTTTTTTTTTTTTTTGGCAACTGGCCGGTACGGGGATCCGAACTCTTGACCTTTGTGTTATCAGCACCACGCTGTAACCAGTTGAGCTAACCGGCCAGCCCCAGAGGGGAATTTCGAGGAAAGATTCTAATTTGATTTTTAGCGAGTGTGGGTCAGTGTATCAGAGAAGGTGTAGAGGTCACCTGGTGAATGTGAGCTGGGCAGGTGTCCAGTTCATGCCCTCGAGAGGGGTATTTGGGCTGGAGTTTGGCCTTCTGAATGTGCATCTTATTTATTTAGCAAACATCGAGTGTCTACCATGCTAGGTTATATTCAAACTAAATCTACAGTTTGTGTTTACATTGACTAAAACACCGTGTTTTGGTCCAGTCTGAGAGATGGACATGATACGGGTTTAAAAACAGCAGATGAGCGTTGTCAGGGGAAGTGAGTATTTGTGTGTTTTAAATGCATTAACACTTTAGGGGTCAAATTGGCTAGTCTATAGTAAGTAAATTCACACAGTAATCATGCATTCATTCAGTAAATACTTATTAAGTACCTACTGTGTGCCAGACACTATACTATGCATGTATACCAACATGTTTATTGATTTAATAAACTGTTGTTGGGATGCTATCAAATATTCAGAGCTGAAGGATATACAAAAACAGACAAGAAATATAAAATAGCCTATGTTAGGAAACGTTATCTACATTGATTAAGTTTATTGGGCATCTAAGAAATACCCAGAAGATGGACTATCTGCCATTAGTAATTTAAATGATTGTTGTTTTTAAAAATAACTCCTTTCAGTTTATCTAGTTCTTTTCCTGGAACTGAAGTCTCACAAACAAAAGAAGAACAAACTTAAAGGAGCTGTTCAGCATTTTAAAATTTAACAAATGCCATATAATAATTATTTTATGAGGTGTCCATTTAGGAACATTTAGTTTGATTGTTTTATCCATGATCTAAGATAAGATTGGTAGTCTACTCAGTACATCCTGATAATATGCATTGGCTTTTCCCCTGCCAATGCAAGGAATCAGTAGAAGCAGATATCTAATTCATTGTTTGCTGGAAGTTCTGAGGCTCTGCTGACCATTAGCAAGAGATTTGCAACCCATGAAATACCCATGTGTGTGTTTTCCCAGCCCTGACCTCTCTCCTGATATCCAGAGTCTATGTTGAGCTCCTTACTGGACATCTTCACTTGGATGACTAATAGGGAACTCACATTTAACCCTTGATTTCCCTTCTCCCCTCTCTCCCAAATCTGCTTCTTCCCCATCTCAATAAATGGCACCACCTTCTTTTTTTTTTTAATAAAAAGATGACCAGTAAGGGGATCTTAACCCTTGACTTGGTGTTGTCAGCACCACACTGTCCCAAGTGAGCTAACCGGTCATCCCTATATAGGGATCCGAACCCATGGCCTTGGTGTTATCAGCACCACACTCTCCCAAGTGAGCCACGGTCCGGCCCTGAATGGCACCACCTTCTACCCAGTCACTGAGACCATCCTTGTTTCCTCTTTCTCTTATCCCCTACCCATGAAGGGCAAGTTCATCAGCAAGTCCTATCAGTTCTGTGTCCTAAATCTATGCTAATCAATTTCCTCTTCTGTCTAAACTAGGGTTCTACAAACTACTGCTCAACTAGGCAGGCCGAATCCAACATGCCGTCTCCTGATTTGTATTGCCTAAGAGCCAAGAATGGTTTTTACATTTTTAGAGGGTTGTTTAAAACAGAGGAAGAGAAGGAGCAGGAGAAAGAAGAGAAGAACGTGTGACAGAGTTTATGTGGCCTGGAAAGCCTGAAATATTTACTGACTTTTACAGAAAAATTTTACTTCTGTCACACAACAGCCTCCTTACTGTTATCTCTGCTTCCATTTTTGTCTAACTACAGTCATACTTATTAATACACCCAGAGTGATTTTTTTTAAAATGTAAATCAGGTCAATTAGAATAAAACCCAAAGACCTTACCGCAGCCCAAAAAGCCACTGTGGTCTGACTCCTGCCTTCTAATCTCATCCTACCCAATGATGACTTCCTCCTAGTCATTTTCTCGCCAGCCATTCACTCTTCCACAGCTGCCTGGTCTTCCAAACAGTTTAAGCTCCTTTCTGCACCGAGCCTTTGTACTTGCTGTGTACCTGGAGCTCTCCTCCTCAGATCTTGTCTCAGGGACTCCGGCCCCTACAGGCTGTTCCTCACCATTCAGGTCCCACTCCAACATCACCTCCTAGAGAGCTCACTCTACATAAGTAACCGTGTCCCCAGGATACTTTCTATCACATTATCTGGTTTTATTCTGTACACAGCACTTGTCACTATTGAGAGTATCTCGTATATTTATTTTCTTGTTTATTATCACCCCACCCCAGTGGAAGTTAAGCTTCAGAAGAGCAAGGGCTTTGTTTTTTTGCCTGATGGATCCCTGAGATCAGGCACAATTACCTGTACATGGTGGGTGCTCAACAAATATTTGTTGAATTTTTGAATGAAATACTACAACGTGATATAAAGCTCCTAGCACATGATGTACATGGAGCGGTTGCTCAATAAATGCTAGTTCCTCTATCTTGTAAGTACTTTAATTGCAATTTTTCATATGGAGAAGCTGAGGTCCAAAGCCGTTAAGTGACTTGCCTAAAGCCATGCAATGAGTCAGTGTTAAAGCCGAAAATAGAAATGAGAGCTCCTAACTGCAGACCAGTTTTCAGATATAACTGTTATTACATCTGATAAAACTTGGTATTTATTATCTAGTTAACACTCTACTAAGAAGTTTTTGTTTCCTTGGTAGCCTTTCTGTACCCTCACTTATATTCGTAATACAGCATTTGAGGTTTATACGTGACTAAATCTTCCACAACGTCCATGAAGATGTTAATTGTTAATACTGAAACGTGTCGTATCCACTACCATCTCCCCTCAATTCATTTTGCTTGGAAGAACAAGAGTTATCTTCCTCTCCAGATTCCCATGATGCTACATTTTTATCTTTCTAGGTGGAACACATGAGCCCCTCACCATTTCCTCATGGGAATTAATGCCCTTCATCAATGTTGTCTGTAGAACACTGTGAGATAAACTTTCAGGGCCCTGCCTTGTATGCTACAGCCTGTAAGCCCCAATTGCCGGGATCAAAGTTCTTCTAGTGATATATATGGGCTCAGAACACTAAGAGGTCTGGATTTAACAAAAAATTTTTAGAGCGTGGTGTTGGTAGCACCAAGGTAAAAGGTTTGGATCCCCATTCTGGCCAGCAGCCAAAAAAAAAAAACCCCAAATAAAAAAAAATAAAAAATAAAAACCTATAAAAGTTTTTTTATTAGGAAGAATTTTAGAGATGATGCAATCAAAAGATACAAAATGTCTCTCAAAAGAACATATTTCAAAAAACATAAGAATCATCACATGAACCATCACCACTACTCACTTGCCTTGAGAACAGATAAAAGTTGAAAAGAACAGAACTGGAAGAAGGGAGGTGTCTCCTCTGCCCCATAAGCACTGTTTGCTTGTAGAGAACATTGGCCCCAGAGCCCAGTGTGGAGAGATCAGGTCTTGGAGGCTGGGAAGGCAGAATCCCAAGGCAGGAATGAGATAAAATGGAACCCACTGGGCCAGTTGGAGTGGAGGAACCAAGGGACAAAAAAATAGCTTAGAGTTGTAAAGATGGGTCTCTAGGGAAGAAGGATGTAGGGTCAGGGAGGTAAGATGGGAACTGCAGGGGTCCCCTGTTTACCTTATGTCTCTAGCTAGCTATGCTACAAAGAAAGAAATAGGAAAGTTGCTCAAATTTTGTGAAGTAGCCCCAGGAGTTAAAGACCTCCAAAGGAGGATTAATAGAGAGTCAAAAGGCATTTACCCCCAAACGTTAGCTACACTCTGCACCTGGACACAGCCATGCCTGAAACCTGCACACATGCAGATCTCAGAGAGCTTGGGATTACTTCAAAAGGTCTCTGAAACCTTAAAGCTTGGAGAACCATACTGTTATAGGGCTTCACTCCTGCTGCTGAGAAAGTTCTGGGTTGCCTCTCCAAAGCGTTTTCCTTGCCAGGCCATCAAGTGGTCAGTATCTGGTGTCCATCAGCATGCTGTCTCTGAAATCTGCCAAAACTCACTTTCCTTCATCAAAGCCTCCATCCTATGAGAGAGATGGACCATACAGGTGGAAAAAGAGC